ATTACATGCAGCTATCATGCCAGTGATTTCTCCTTTCGTCGCATAGTGAATAGTTTGTGAGCACATCCTCGACTCTCGAAACATTTGTCTTGCGCCGCTATAGAAGTTGCTTCTCCCGCGAACCATAGGTAGATTTCCCGCTTAACATAATGTTTGATAATTTATGCAAAAGTTGACCTCGTGAAAGTCAGCAGTGCATTAATCGACTCAAAAATAAACAGACTTCCTACAGGGTTTTGAACACGGTTTTAATTAAAGTACTTTACGAGCGCTGCGGTAGTTGACCGCAAAAGTGTTACGGTGATGGATACTCAACTGGATGATTACGTCACTTCATAGCAACCAGACGGTACGAATTTTTTAACTTCCGGAGCGCTGAGGCTCGTAGTGTCTCCAGGGACAGGATCCCGCAATTGCCGTAATTGCGCATTGAATTGTGCCCGCTCCACTACATCACGCCAGCGGCGTCGTCGACCGATGGGTTGCATACTGAATTGAAAGAGAGGGCCACGGGCGGCAGCCCCTCCCAACTGTTCCCATCGATCATAGGCGCGGTCCAATAGAGCATCCCCTTCTTCGTCCTCACTGAAAGGATACGCCTCCGCCATGACAGCGGCAACCCATTTGAATTTTCCCGCGCTGGACGTGGACCTTTATAGACCTTCTCACGTGATCTCTCCTGCGCTGGGATTGGTGGACCCAAGCTCAGGTGAGAGTCAGGTGAGGGGGTTTGATCAACAAGAAGAAGATCAGGGGTGGTCCCCCCCATGGGTACAGACTCCTTCCATCTCGGCTGGGTCTGGACCGAGATCCGTGATTGGCCGAGACCCCCCTAGATAAAGTCGGTCGTTCAGACCAGACGTCAGTGTGAGTTCGAGATGCCCAACAAAGATCCCGAGAAAGTAAAACAAGCGAAGCGTGAATGGTATCTCAAGAACAAAGAGAGATTGTTGCAGCAGAAACGTGAAAAGCGGGCGGCCCAGAAAAAGGTGAAACCCCCTAAACCGCCTAAACCAGCTCCAACCCCCGAACAGGAAGCGAGAGCCCGAGAGTTTAACCGACTGGCCTGTCAACGCTACCGAACCAAGAACGCGGCTTTCGTGCGCTTGTTGAATCGAGACTACTATCAACGGCACCGCGAACACATTACGCAGCAGCAGCGAGAGCGACGTGCCAGGGTTCGACAGAGCCAAGAGAGTCCCTTCCGAAAGTTACGAGCGTTGGCGGACGTATGTGCTGCCCGATTGTTGGAGTTAGAGTATGGATACGCCCGGATCGAGCCGCAAAAAGAGGGACCCCGAGAAAAATAAGCAGAACCAAAAACTGTATCGGCAACGACAGTATGCGTCCGTGAACGGCATTGAGAAAGTGAAAGCCCTTCACCGTCGACGCTACCACGAGCGCATGGCACGCATGAAGGCCAACGGGGAATACGAGGCCTTCAAGGCCAAAAAAGTAGAGTATGGGATGAAGCGCTACTATGCCATGTCCGAGGAGCGGCGCAACCAAGTGAAACGCAAGAACGCGCAAGCCCAAAAAAACTGGATGGCGAAAATGAAAGAGGAGGGGACCTTCGAGGCGTACAAAGAACGCGTGAATGCGCGGCGGCGACAACTCCTGGACGAGAAACGACGAGCGTTAGGGGAGGACGGGTGGAGAGCGTTGCAGAAAGAAAAATATCAGAAGCGAATGGCGACCCTACAACATCAACGATTGGCCGAGCATGTGGACCGTCCCTTTCCCCTCCCGTGGTTGCCGTTAGACTGGTCCGACTCCGAGCTTGAAGAGGACCCTGTACAATGGACTCGTTCAAACGCGTTACAACAATTGCAACAGTATTTGTAAGAACAATGTGAGTTTATTAAAACATGTGATTAGATCATTCAATCTTGTTATGACTGTGTTCCAATAATTACATGCCCAATCTCAGTTTGGTTTTCATAATGCGTCTGACAATCCGCTCCGTCAGGGTTTTGCGGCCAGGGAGTTGATCAATCTTGGCAATCATCTTTTGATCCGCCACCCATTTATCTTTGAAGGTCTTGGCTTTATCATAGTCCATGTCATGCACTTTCGCAATCCTGTCTAACCAGTTGATGCCGGGATCCCCACGGGCCAAACGTTTTTTCAAATGGGTGCCAGGGCCCATATACTGATAGCCGGGCCAATGAAATTCAATCCCCGTCTTGTTGAGGAGGTTTTGCACATCAAATAACTTGCCCCCGCGTTGCGAGCGTCGTCGTCGCCTCGGTCGGGCACGGGAGGCAGCCGCCACACGACGTCTCCGTCCCATCACGGGGTTTTCCACGATTTCCAATCCAAGGCTTTCTTGACCAGACCTTTGCCTTTCTTTTTGGCCACTTCCGCCGCTTTCTTTCTAAGATGTTTCTTGATAGCTGGTGAGAGCGTGGAAGAGGTCGAGGTCGATTTCGATGAACCAGGCAACCCTTCGGCCAAGTCTCCACTGCTCACTTGGGGTGTAAACTTGAGTTTCTTTTTGGCACTGGGGGTGATGTTCGGTTTAGGCGGGATGGGTGGTTTTCTGGGTCCTGCAGGCGTGGACCCTTGTTTTATACCTTTGGTGGCTTTGACCAATTGCGTGAACCACGCTTGCATCGGCCCCGCCTCAAAATCATCATCCTCGCCGGGCGTGGCGGCCCCTGCGGCGCGCACACCCCCCGCGGGCGCACCAAAGGGTTGACGCACTTTTTTGGTCCAATGGCGTAACTGACGGCTCACGGCTTTGAGTTGCGGTCGTTTCCAGGCATCGGGGACCTCGCTGGTCAGGAGGACATGTTGTCTGGCCGCCAAATCCGCGGCTTTACTCAAGCGCGTATCTTCCACCAATTCTTGTTTGTACTTCTCTTTTAATTGTAAAAAAGCAGGGGCGTTGTCCACCGTGGTGCTCACCATCTCGGGTTCCATGATGCAACTGACGGGTCTCCTTTAGCGCATGCAACGTTTATAACATCGGTTGAGTTCAGGCCAGAGGGCACCCCCTGTTTGAGCCATCATGATGGCGCGTCGTCGTTTCACCGAATGCGCGGGTTTGGCCATGGCGCGTAAACTCTGGGCATGGGGTTTGAGCAACGTGATGGTATGTCGAGAACGGGGCACGGTGCCACGGAGCGTGTTCATCACCAATTCACTGATGGCATTGATCTGATCCGCATTCGCCATCCGTAACAATTCTTGTCGTTTATGTTGATTGGCTTCTTGTAAGACACCTTTCAAGAACGGGGCTTGACGTTCCATGCGCCACGTCATGCTGAAGGTTCAGGAATTGCCATGACCCCGCTCTATTTATGGTAAATTGGGCCCCACACGGGCGACATAGTTCCCCATGAGAATGCTGTTGCATATGACGTGGACATCGCTGACACAACGCGGCCTCGATCTCCTCCGTCCACTCTAGCGTCATCGTGATGGCTTTACGGGGGGGTCTAGTCCGGTCGACGAACACGGATTCTGGGTTTGTATTTTCGGAGCCACAAAGGCGAGAGAGCCATTGCCAACAGCGGTAACTTAGCGCCGCGTTGCAGACCACGTCGACGGCGTCGTTTTCGGGGGACATAACGGTGTCGGCGTCCATTGGGTCCACGGACCATCCTCAATTGACGTCTGGGTCCCTACCCCGCCTGTCTTTTATAGCCTTCTCAGCGTTTTTTAAACCCGCCTAACATCCGCTGAACCCGTCGTTGAATGAAGGCCTGTTGCTTTGCACTGATCTTGCCCACTTTTTTCTTTTTCTTTTTTTTCAAGGCAATGGCTGCACCGACAGCAATAGGGAGGAGGAGCGGGAGAATACCCCCTCGTTGCTGTCGGCGTCGTAGTCGTCGACCACAAACCATGAGGATCCTTGAATCTGTCCAACCAAAGACACGCCTCTTGTCTTTTATACTATTTTTTCACATGATGGAACAAACAAACGATTCCCCTGCATAGCGTTTTCGTTTGCCGGATTCCCACTCTCGCGTGCGTTTGTCAATAATGGCTTGGGCACGCTTTTGTTGATGATCCCCGATGGCTTTGGTGATCCCATAACCGGCTTTGAGAATCCCGAGAGGTAGGGCGGGTCCGACACCCCCTACTTGACCCCTTCGTCGTTTGGCAGGTCGGCGACGCCGAGTCGTGGTACGTTTGCGTTTGCGTCTAGGGGCCATCCCGCTTCGACATCGGCCACACATGGTTTTGGGACGGTGAAAGGAAGGAGCCTGGTTTTATATCTTTTTGTTCACGGGCGTCGACCCCGTCCACGGGCTCGGCCACGGCCACGGCCACGGCCTCGGCGTGGTGGGGGTGGACCGGAGGTTCGCGTGGAGGTACGGCGCACGGACGGTCGCCCTCCCTCTTCATACACGGTGGTCACCGTATTGGTATGCGTAATATTGCGAATGCGTCTCCCTCGAGCCCGTTCTTGGGCATCTTCATTGAGCAAATCCAACCGTCGCCTTAAGCCTCGCCGTCGATCGTCGTCATCATCATCTTCATCTTCCTCTTCCGACGGAGGGGAGGAATCGGGGGACGGTGGAGAGGGCACGCGGGGACGTCGTCGCGGTTGTTTGGCGGCCACGGTGGGACGTCCGGTCGGGGTCGTCACCGTGGAGGTGGTGGTCCTGGTGCCGGCTCCAGCACTGCGTCGAGCGGTGGAGGGGCGGGAGGGAGCCGTGGTGGTGGTGGCGGTGGTGACAGGGCGTGGTCTGGGTCGTCTGGAGCTGGTGGTGGCTGTGGGACGTGTGCGGGTAGACGTGGTGGGAGCGGTGGTGATAGTGGGTGGAGGTGGTGGGGGTGGTGGTGCCGTGGTGGTGGTGCCTGTGCCTGCCACGGGGGGTAACGTAAAGGCATTCAAGGCATCGTCCACATTGATCGGAAACGTCAAATTAAAATCCTCAATCTCTTGATCCAATTGAGCTCGATCCACAGGTTGGGTCAATTCCGCGACCATGTCCGTCATGGTACTGAGATCTGGGGGAGGGGTGGTGGGCGAACCCACACCGGCGGGCGAGAACGTCGGCGTGTCCATGCGGACCGATAAGTCACGTTGTTGTCCGCCTTCTCTTTGCCGACGGACCCTGGCGAGTTCTCGTTGCAGCTCGTTTTCGAACGGCAGGGAGATCCACGGGCAAGGTATGGACTTGCGCCTTGCCTTCTCGGCGCGTTAAATGACTCCACAAGCGGTACCGATCATCCGACGCCGGATGCACATCCAACATCAAATAGCCAAAGGGACGGGACGTGATGCGTTTAAATAGGCGCAAGACTTGACGCCATCGGTCGGGAAAGGCTTGCAGTAAAATGGTGCGTATGCCCGTTTGATCCCGGGGATTCTTGAAGGCCACAATGTAATGCGCGTTGCGATTGATGGTCTTGGAAAATTTGCCCGGTGGGAATAAATCTTGCGTCGAATACAACACGGTGATGTTGCGATGATGGGAATCTTTGGTGAACAAATCCAACACGCGTTTGTCCTGTCCCCCTTCTTCCATCAAATCGTCAAAGACGAGCACCCCGCCGCGCGTCCGACCAAACCATTGGGTCAAATGACGGGGGTCCGGTAATCCGCGATGAAATTGAATCCCATCGTTCTTTTGCATACGCTCAAACCGGGGTTGCCATCGGTCGTACGCATAGACGATCTTGTGGGGTTTGACTTGAAACACTTGGAGGTCCCGTAACCATTGTTCCACTAACTCGCTCTTGCCACTGCCCGACGGACCCGCGATAATCACACTACTGGGGTGTCGGATCATCCTTCCCACGGTCGAGGGTGACGACGATAATGACCCGTGGCCCCTTTAGCACCCATGCGCTTATACCGTTTGCTACGTCCCAATGTATCCCCGATTTTATACGCTTTGGCCAACACGCTCATGATGCCTCGCCCGTTTTGACGAAAGCGGGGTCGTCGGGAGGAAGCGCGCTGTCGTCGTCGTCGTCGTCTGTGGCTGGGCATGCCGTCCAATACTCGCGGTAGAGGCGTGGCGACTCGATTTGAATCAGGTGTTCCATCATCTCCCTTAAATGCGTTTCTTTCATGGTGTCCATGTACTGTTTGAGAGCGACCCAGTCCTGGTCTTGGGCCAGTTGGCGGGCCATTAACCAATGGTACCCATCCCACGCATCCACCCCTTGGACGGTGTTCACCCGTTCAATGGGGTGTGACCACCAATACAGGGTTTCTTCTAACATGAAGGCATCGATCACACGCTGGACATCCCCTCGCGTAATCATGATGAGATTTCAAATGACCACTCTTTCACAGCACATCTCGTTTTATGGTGTTTTTATTTTTAACACTCACAAGGATGACAAAGCATAAAGGCCTGGCGGCTCACATTCTTTTGCCCTCCCTCCGGGCGGGCATCGACTTCATCTTGTACTTCTTGTTTAATCACCCGTTTCAACTGGTCAGCCACTTTCTGATCATTCAACACTAAGTTGTCGCAACTCCATTGACTCAAAAACTCTTGATAGGACTGGCCTTGGGCTCGGGCTTTCAAGAAAAATAACGCATAATGGCCACAGGTCTGACTATCCAGGGCTTGCAACGTCTGGTCACTGCGGATCAGGTGCTTCCATTGACTCCACCATTGGTGCAGGTCGGGGTGGGTGTACACGTGAGCCATTGCCAACAGCGGTAACTTAGCGCCGCGTTGCAGACCACGTCGACGGCGTCGTTTTCGGGGGACATAACGGTGTCGGCGTCCATTGGGTCCACGGACCATCCTCAATTGACGTCTGGGTCCCTACCCCGCCTGTCTTTTATAGCCTTCTCAGCGTTTTTTAAACCCGCCTAACATCCGCTGAACCCGTCGTTGAATGAAGGCCTGTTGCTTTGCACTGATCTTGCCCACTTTTTTCTTTTTCTTTTTTTTCAAGGCAATGGCTGCACCGACAGCAATAGGGAGGAGGAGCGGGAGAATACCCCCTCGTTGCTGTCGGCGTCGTAGTCGTCGACCACAAACCATGAGGATCCTTGAATCTGTCCAACCAAAGACACGCCTCTTGTCTTTTATACTATTTTTTCACATGATGGAACAAACAAACGATTCCCCTGCATAGCGTTTTCGTTTGCCGGATTCCCACTCTCGCGTGCGTTTGTCAATAATGGCTTGGGCACGCTTTTGTTGATGATCCCCGATGGCTTTGGTGATCCCATAACCGGCTTTGAGAATCCCGAGAGGTAGGGCGGGTCCGACACCCCCTACTTGACCCCTTCGTCGTTTGGCAGGTCGGCGACGCCGAGTCGTGGTACGTTTGCGTTTGCGTCTAGGGGCCATCCCGCTTCGACATCGGCCACACATGGTTTTGGGACGGTGAAAGGAAGGAGCCTGGTTTTATATCTTTTTGTTCACGGGCGTCGACCCCGTCCACGGGCTCGGCCACGGCCACGGCCACGGCCTCGGCGTGGTGGGGGTGGACCGGAGGTTCGCGTGGAGGTACGGCGCACGGACGGTCGCCCTCCCTCTTCATACACGGTGGTCACCGTATTGGTATGCGTAATATTGCGAATGCGTCTCCCTCGAGCCCGTTCTTGGGCATCTTCATTGAGCAAATCCAACCGTCGCCTTAAGCCTCGCCGTCGATCGTCGTCATCATCATCTTCATCTTCCTCTTCCGACGGAGGGGAGGAATCGGGGGACGGTGGAGAGGGCACGCGGGGACGTCGTCGCGGTTGTTTGGCGGCCACGGTGGGACGTCCGGTCGGGGTCGTCACCGTGGAGGTGGTGGTCCTGGTGCCGGCTCCAGCACTGCGTCGAGCGGTGGAGGGGCGGGAGGGAGCCGTGGTGGTGGTGGCGGTGGTGACAGGGCGTGGTCTGGGTCGTCTGGAGCTGGTGGTGGCTGTGGGACGTGTGCGGGTAGACGTGGTGGGAGCGGTGGTGATAGTGGGTGGAGGTGGTGGGGGTGGTGGTGCCGTGGTGGTGGTGCCTGTGCCTGCCACGGGGGGTAACGTAAAGGCATTCAAGGCATCGTCCACATTGATCGGAAACGTCAAATTAAAATCCTCAATCTCTTGATCCAATTGAGCTCGATCCACAGGTTGGGTCAATTCCGCGACCATGTCCGTCATGGTACTGAGATCTGGGGGAGGGGTGGTGGGCGAACCCACACCGGCGGGCGAGAACGTCGGCGTGTCCATGCGGACCGATAAGTCACGTTGTTGTCCGCCTTCTCTTTGCCGACGGACCCTGGCGAGTTCTCGTTGCAGCTCGTTTTCGAACGGCAGGGAGATCCACGGGCAAGGTATGGACTTGCGCCTTGCCTTCTCGGCGCGTTAAATGACTCCACAAGCGGTACCGATCATCCGACGCCGGATGCACATCCAACATCAAATAGCCAAAGGGACGGGACGTGATGCGTTTAAATAGGCGCAAGACTTGACGCCATCGGTCGGGAAAGGCTTGCAGTAAAATGGTGCGTATGCCCGTTTGATCCCGGGGATTCTTGAAGGCCACAATGTAATGCGCGTTGCGATTGATGGTCTTGGAAAATTTGCCCGGTGGGAATAAATCTTGCGTCGAATACAACACGGTGATGTTGCGATGATGGGAATCTTTGGTGAACAAATCCAACACGCGTTTGTCCTGTCCCCCTTCTTCCATCAAATCGTCAAAGACGAGCACCCCGCCGCGCGTCCGACCAAACCATTGGGTCAAATGACGGGGGTCCGGTAATCCGCGATGAAATTGAATCCCATCGTTCTTTTGCATACGCTCAAACCGGGGTTGCCATCGGTCGTACGCATAGACGATCTTGTGGGGTTTGACTTGAAACACTTGGAGGTCCCGTAACCATTGTTCCACTAACTCGCTCTTGCCACTGCCCGACGGACCCGCGATAATCACACTACTGGGGTGTCGGATCATCCTTCCCACGGTCGAGGGTGACGACGATAATGACCCGTGGCCCCTTTAGCACCCATGCGCTTATACCGTTTGCTACGTCCCAATGTATCCCCGATTTTATACGCTTTGGCCAACACGCTCATGATGCCTCGCCCGTTTTGACGAAAGCGGGGTCGTCGGGAGGAAGCGCGCTGTCGTCGTCGTCGTCGTCTGTGGCTGGGCATGCCGTCCAATACTCGCGGTAGAGGCGTGGCGACTCGATTTGAATCAGGTGTTCCATCATCTCCCTTAAATGCGTTTCTTTCATGGTGTCCATGTACTGTTTGAGAGCGACCCAGTCCTGGTCTTGGGCCAGTTGGCGGGCCATTAACCAATGGTACCCATCCCACGCATCCACCCCTTGGACGGTGTTCACCCGTTCAATGGGGTGTGACCACCAATACAGGGTTTCTTCTAACATGAAGGCATCGATCACACGCTGGACATCCCCTCGCGTAATCATGATGAGATTTCAAATGACCACTCTTTCACAGCACATCTCGTTTTATGGTGTTTTTATTTTTAACACTCACAAGGATGACAAAGCATAAAGGCCTGGCGGCTCACATTCTTTTGCCCTCCCTCCGGGCGGGCATCGACTTCATCTTGTACTTCTTGTTTAATCACCCGTTTCAACTGGTCAGCCACTTTCTGATCATTCAACACTAAGTTGTCGCAACTCCATTGACTCAAAAACTCTTGATAGGACTGGCCTTGGGCTCGGGCTTTCAAGAAAAATAACGCATAATGGCCACAGGTCTGACTATCCAGGGCTTGCAACGTCTGGTCACTGCGGATCAGGTGCTTCCATTGACTCCACCATTGGTGCAGGTCGGGGTGGGTGTACACGTGCAGGGGCAGCCCATAACTGTCAAAGACCTCGCACTTGTTCTGTTCCGTCCACAGACCCAACCAATGTTGTCCCGGTTCTCCCGCCGGATCCGTGTTGACAATGTAGGCTTGACGGACACTCTTGTGGGGTGAACGGGGTAACTGGTCGGCGGGGTACACCCCGTGAAACACGCGTCGTAATTGAGGATCTTCTAGGGCCAACGTCCGCAGCACCCTATCACTGAGCGCCACAAACTCCATGACCGGTGTCTTCTGTCTTCTGAATCCATCTCAGCCGTTGATGTTGTACTTTATACCTCCCATATGATTGATCTCATACATGTTTTCATATTCGCTCCAGACCAACACGGTGATGTTGTGATTGACTGCCGCTGCAAAATCAATGATCAGTCGCACATTGCCCGATTGACGGGGGTTGCGATACTGAGGATCATCGGCTTTTCCACTGGGCACATTGTTGAACAGGAACAACGTGCAGTTCTTGCTTTGTCCCCAATCACCAGGCAGCAACATGAGAATCTTGTCTTCATTGTAGGCACCCATAGCTTGTAGAAATCGATCGTACCCCAGTAGATCTTCATAGGCTTGATCTCCAGTCAGTTGCAGGGTTCTGTAAGGGTATTCTTCTCCATTCAAGGTCTGACGTATTTGGGTGACCCCAAACTTTTCAAAGGCAAAGGGGTATCTTTGTAGGTCGCCATTGAAGGCATTGAAATGCAATAACCCGACCATCACTCGGTCAGGAAATCGACCCACAAACACATTGTCTTGTTCCCACTGGGTGGTGCGTCCATCGAAGGAAAAGGTACGGATTTCGCTCCGCACCACGGGGTAGCGGGCAATCTGTTTGCCCAGCTGTCTTTCTTTCTGCAGTCTCACATAGACACTGGCATTCAAGGTCACTTTTCTCATCAGCAAGGTGACTTTGATGTCTTCTGGGTGAATGGCTGGAAATTTCTTGGCGACTAAGGTGCCTTTATTGGGGGTGCCTATCAAGTAGACGGTGTTGGGGT